AACAGCACTCTAATCTCTAATAGGTTTATAGACTAGTGATCAGTATTGTGATTTGTATTAATTACTGCAAATTAAATAAGTTTTATAGCTAATAATTAGTGTAGTTAAAAATTATTGAACGTTTTGAATTGAGTTTTTTTGATTTCTAATTGAAAATTTGCTTTGTCATTCATAAAAAATGTAATTAAAAAGTCAAATACAAATATTTATCATTTTTAAATGAACATATTAAATATTGATAGTATTATTTTTAATATTAATCAATAATATGTTATAATTCTTCAGATATTTCAATAAAACGTTGAAAATTTTTGGTGTGCCTATTGGCATATATTTTATTAGTTTAACTACTGCTCCCGGAGTGATCAACTACTAAGGCTTGTCAGAATTGATTGTTCAACTACTACTCCTTTGATAGTCTATCTTAAAACCGTCGTCAAAATATAAATATTCTATCTTTGTTTTTTTGTTAATCGAAATTGTTTATATTTTCATTAAAATCACTCATTTGTAATAATTACATCTTTATATAATAAAAGTAGGGTCAAATACGTTTTACTTTGAAACCTGTTCAATAACTAGGAACGTTAACTTATCAGTAAAAAAAACGGTATATCATTTTGAGTAAAAAAAATTGTACCACTCAATGAAATAGTCTTTTCTAAATAATACATATTTTTTGCAAAGACATAAACTATAATTTTTATATTAAATTTTAGCGTCTAACTATACCTCGAAATTTTAAAAGCGGTACCCATAACCTGAACAAGCTGGGGCTGGATAATTTTAACAGCACTCTAATCTCTAATAGGTTTATAGACTAGTGATCAGCATTGTCATTTGTATTAATGACTGCAAATAAGTTTTATAGCTAAAAATTAGTGCAGTTAAAAATTATTGAACGTTTTGAGCCATGTGAGTACTTGGATGAAAGGTCTCGATGAGTGTAACATCAGGATGAGCTTATATCTTTCAAAATGTCAATATTTCTCAAGATACAAGGTAATTTCTTAATTATATCACTCAGTATAATCTGGATTATACTAGCTACTATCTGAAATTTTTTTTTTGCTTTAGATATCACTGAATATAATTCAGGATGTTATCCAGTGTCATATTATTTTTTCCGTGGGATGAAGATAAAAAAAGAAAAAAAAGTGGAAAATTTATCTTTTATGTACAATTTAAAAAAAATTTTTTTTTTCAATTACGCTGGCAGTTTTTTAAAAATATTTTAAAGTTTAAATTTAAAGATGATTTTGTAAAAAAGACAGCAATGTTGTCTCGTAATGCCTCGTTGCGTCTAAACTCCTAAGACTGTGCCTCTCTGTCGGGTAAATTTGCAATTGATAAGGCTTACCGGTTTTGATAAGCGCATTAATTAATTCGCTTGTGTGAAAAAAGTGAACATTTTCATCAATTAATCCGTGAATTATTAACAAACGATTTTCTTCATCGGGGAATTTATTGACGTAGGTCAAGACGGAGCTGTTTATGTAACCGTGGTAATTGCTGTCCGGGTGGTCCATGTACCGCTCAGTGTATCCTGTGTCGTAGAGGTTCCAGCAAGTTACTGGTGCTCCGGCAATAGCAACCTTCATTTAATTTAATTTTATTATTAATTTATTATAATCTAAGATTTTAAATTTGACTAAAAATTTTAGGAAATAAAATAAACAATTGAAAATAAGACGAAATTAACAACGTTGCAGTCACTATGTGACTGCTGTGAGTTATGAATTATAAATAAATAAAATTTTGCTTTATTAAATAATGAATTTTGTTAAATTGCACTGTACTTTCTTAAATATTGACATTTTTAAAGATATAAGCTCATCCTGATGATACATTGGTCAAGAGCTTTCATTTGAGTACCCACATGCATTTTTGATATATTTTTCATATATACATATATATAATATATATAAATATAAGAAATATGTGAAAAATTGATGTGAGTACTCAAATGAAAGGTCTCGATGAGAGTAACATTGGGATGAGCTTATATCTTTAAAAATATCAATATTTTCAAGATAAAAGGTAATTTCTTAATTATGTATCTAGAGATAAATTATTTACAAATGCAGCCTAAATAAGGTAAAGCTCCCAGTACTCGAACAGGCTTTCCGAATTGTTGTAATACAAAATCCGATTTATTATAAGTAATATGCGCATGTTATAATTATTCAGTGATACAGTAATTGATTTCTGTAAGTTTTTCCAATTATAAATCAAAACAATTATATTTTTGTTAACTTAAAAGTCGAGAATAGTCGATAGATTATTTTTTTCATGAAAAAAGTACTAAACCGTAAACCGAACAATCAGTAAAAAAAAACGGTATGATTTTAAGTAAAAAATATTGTACCACCCAATGAAATAGTCTTTTCTAAATAATACCCTATTGGAACATGCCATTTGCAACAACCCGGCGGATAGATCACAATAAACCTGATATTGTGCTCTTCGACAAGGCTACTCGTGACATTTATGTCATAGAGTTTTCGGCCCCGGCTGAATACAACATCTCAGCCAAAGAAGAGCACAAAAGACAAATATATCAGGATCTCCTGTTTGAAATTGGCAAACTTTACCCAGGTTACCATGTCAAGCTTGTCGTCCTGATTGTTGGCGTCCTTGGAGGAATGAAACAGTCTTTTGTATCCTCACTTGCCAGAGTTCCAGCTTACTCATCAAAAGCTGAGTTCTTGGCAGTCAGAATGCAGAAGGCTGTGATACTAGGTTCCCTACGTCTACTTAGAGAAATGACTTTGGCCTGCTGTGAACACTAACCACCTTGTTGTGTGGAGTGGTCCAGCAGTAATGGATGGAGCACAGGGTGGGCCCGCGGAGAGTCGGACTCCGGGGACAACCCCCCCCTGAGCATTTAATAAAATAATAATAATAATAATAATAATA